TTCCCGGCAAATTCCCGGTTTTCCCGTTTTTCCCGGACGCTAGACACCCTGTTTTAGCGATAATGCAATTCTAGTTTTTTTGCATTTATTTATGAAAAACGAATAACTTGAAACCTTATTAAATCGTGTGCTATAAAATATAAAGATAGTATAACAATATTTATCTCTTCATATTCAAGAGTGAACGACTTTAAATTATGAATGTTTTTAATGGCACACTTACAGAGTGAAGAATAATGGGATAAATGTTTATGTGAACGATAGATATTATTCTCAGTAATATTATTTCTAGACGCTAAAAATTTACTTTAAATGAAACATTTAAAAACGTTAAATATATAATTTTTTAACAACTTTTTCTATTAAAATAATCGACCTGAATTTATCTATAAAGCTTTATTAGTATATATAGTTGTCGCTTGTGTTTTGATAGACGTAAATTAATATTAACATTAATATCGGATCCTGTATTCACTCACTTTACTTGTAAAAAATCTAGTTTTTTTACTTTTGTAAACTATACAATGTTAACATGTCAAAAAACAAATAATGCAGATGGCAAAAAACTATATAAGTAGGGGAGACTGGGGCGAAAAGTTAAATTTTGCATAAATGATTTTTTTTTGGCAATATAATCCGCTTAGATGCAAATATTTATATATCAATATTGTAAGGCAACTTGTCCTCTACAACTTTCAATAAAAAAGTTTCTGATATTTTCGCGTAAAATAAATGTTTTATTCTTTTTTGAAAATTTTGTTCTATTTCTCTACCAAAACTATTTTCTGATAGGTGTGTTAGTAAATTAAAATTTATTAAAAAATTTTTTTTTTTATTTCACGTGAACGGTCTTGTTTTTTTGACAGAGTACTTTCCTAACGTCAAATAAATAATTTTTAAACAAATAAACCCAAAAGAAACGAAAAATGTAAAAAACATTTTTAACAACATGTAAAAATACATTTATAACATTTCGCCCCAACCATTATTTAACATTTAGCCCCAGGGTGCATTTTTGGCTTTAACAACAAATATAAAAAAATCTTACTAAAGATATTTAGCAAATACCTTTAGGTATCTCTTCAGGGGAGCCAAATAAGAACCTAAAAAAATCGCGATGAGAATAAATTTAAAAAATATACTTAAAAGTTGATATTTTCTTTTTCGAAAAAATTTTCAAAAGTAGGGTGAAAACAAACTTTAAATATGGACACCAGAAAAATTAGCAGAATGTCACATAACTCCGGACATTTATTAAGAGTGATAACACCCTTCTATAATTAAAATTGCAATGCTCTATTTCCGTTCGAAAGATAATGAATTTTAACTGTTTTCACAGTTTAACCTCTCGCCCCAGTCTCCCCTATTAATTTTTTAAATTGTGTTATTAGAGCATATTTTGCCATAAATTACCGTTTTCGACCAAAAAATACGTTATACAATAAAAAGTAACTACTTACAACACTATATTTGATTTTCGTTCAAATTTGCACATATATGCCCAGCGTGCACAAATCAGTAATCGTTGCCAAATTGGGACATTTACCTTAAAGGAAAATGATTCACATGAAAAATTACGATTTTTAAATTTATTCTTAACAAAATTGTCTATAAATAAAATTTGTGCTTGTAATTTAAGGATTTTTATATTTACGATGTTAAGACATGCAGTTACGTACATTTGCCCTTATAGGTAGTATGCACAAGCACCTAAGTGAATAACAATGTTATTTTCTTTTTATCCCTTTCACTTTAATTTTTAAAAACTGACCTCAAATTCGAATTCAGCCTTATACATATGATGATAAAATCATATTTTTTGGAAACTTTTTTTCGGACCGTTTTAGGCCCACAATATAGCGATTTTTAACTGGACTGCAAAGGGGTTAAAATCAGCTCCGCATAGAAAAAGTTGTTCAGAATGCAAAACACTATAAAATCCCAAAATTGCAAAAAAACGACTGACAGCCAAAACTAATGTAAATTCTGCAGAGTCATTTAAAATTATTCAGCAGTGACATAAGCATTCTTCTCTTGAACTTCATTGGTAAAGTAAATAATGAAACTACAGCAATAGGAAACTAAATGTCAAAAAAGAATTTTCAAAATACAAGGAGTATATTGAATAATTAAAGGACTACAAATGTCAGAGAGATTTAAATGAAATCGGGATGTGTCATAGAAATATGATACAATCATATAGGAACACTGCATAATCTAATTCGAAGTGAAGATCATCGTATCTCCTTTCCTTGGATTTAATAAGGGTTTCAGTGGTTTCTTATTGCAGCGAATACATAAGATACTAGTTTCGACGCAAATAAAACGACATTTGTTATATAATAGCTACAGTTTAATTACTCGCAAACTTTTAATTGCAATTTTTTCTATTTTTATTAAGTAAAATTTATTCCCTGCTTTTTATCGCATCTCGAATAAGTTAATCAATTTTCTCTCCCATTGATTTTTATTTTCCAAAAGAAAGAAAATATTCGTATTTTTTTGTATAAGGCACTAAAAAAATTTAATCTTATTTAAAACCTTTGTACAGTAAAAACGGTTTGAAAAGTATGAAAATTTTAATAAATTACTCAATTTTAAAAACAATTCAAAATATAACTTTGTTTAATTAAATATTTAGTAAATTCTTCCACAGTTATTTAATAAATTAATTTTTTCGATTTTTGGAAGACGTATATAAAAGGTAAAAGAAAAACACTCTTTTACTTTTTTATAAAATAGACGACGTTTCGGTGGTCAGGTTCGCCACCATCATCAGGTCACTTTAATAGAAAAATTTTTTTAAAAAAAAATTAATACAACAAAATTTTGAAAATTTAAATTTAAACAAAAAATAAAAAACAATTTTTACCTAGTTAAAGTCAATAAATAAACATCACGTCAATAAATTAAAAACATAAATAAACGCAATACAACAAAAAAATAAAATATTTAAATTTACAAATCACAAACATATTAAAACGAGTGATTAGTCAAACTGACTGAGCCGGTGACAATTTTCGCGTTATATACAGTCGATGGGGTCAATGACCCGCAATCGAAATATTATGAATTATAACCATTATTTCAATTTATTAAGCAAAGGAAAATAGGAATTACTAAGAAACTGTATATCTTCCTTCTTGTTAATAGTAAAATTATTGCATTTAATATAAATCATCTCAGAAATTAATCGTTTTTTATAAGAAGTTTCATAATCTAAAATTTCTGCATCGTCAAAATTAAAAGAATGATTATATTCAGTTTGATGTTTGTTCACAACGGATTCGAGGTTTTTGTTTTTATGCTCGCTAATTCTTTTTTTCAAAGTACGCTTTGATTCACCAATATATGTTGCAGGGCAACTATTACAATTAAATTTATAAACAATATTATTCCGATCCCACTTTTTTGTCAAGTCCTTTCCTAATTTTATTACAGAGCTTAAGCTTTTTTCCACAATAGGAATAGAAAGTAAATTATATTTTTTTAAAATATTAGATAATTGATAATAAATATCATTGAAAGGAATACAGATTTTAGGTAGTTGTTGATAAATACTAACGACATTGTTAGTTTGTTTTTTATCTATTGTTTTATGAATTAATGTATGTTTTCGTTTTTTAATATTTTTTTGTATAAATTCTAAAGGGTAATCGTTGTTTTGCAAAATTTTAAAGATTCGTTTAATGTTTTCATTATGAAAGGACTTGTGAGACAATAAAATTGCTCTATCATATAAATTGTAAACAATGTTTTTCTTTTGTTGAATTGGATGACGTGAAAAATAATTTATCAATCTATTAGAAGAAATGGATTTTTGATACCAATTAGTGATGAGTTGATTGTTATTTTTTATTAATGTCATATCTAGGAAATTAATTTTATTATCCATTTCTAGTTCATGAGTAAATTTTAAATTAATATTAAACGAATTAAAAGTGTCAATGAAAAGTTCGACTTGATCTTTATGGACGCACAAAAGTGTGTCGTCCACATATCTATAATAAAATAGAGGAACACAATTGAAATTGTTTTTAAGCAAATTCAAACAATCAGTTTCCACGTCATCCATTACAATATCCGCAAAAAATGGAGATATCGGTGACCCCATCGGAGTACCGTAAATTTGTTTATAAATTCTTTCATCAAAAACAAAATAAGTATTATCAAATAAAAATTCAGTACAATTAATAATGTCAACAAAAGGAATTTTACATTTATTATGAATAATATTGTTTCTTCTATCAAGGCTTTGTATAACTAAATCGCATGGAATATTAGTGAAAAGTGAACTAACATCAAGAGAAAGTAAAACAAAATCTTGTGGTACAGTAATATTCTTCAATTTTTCTTTTAACTCAAAGCTATTGTTTACATGAGATTTTGGTAAAGGAATTACAGTTTTTAACTCTTCGTATATGATTTTGGCCAAAAAATGAGTTGGACTATTTATTAGCGAAATAATAGGACGAAGAGGTGCATTATCTTTATGAATTTTTGGCAAACCATAAAATTTTGCCAAAGAGGTATTAGTCATAGTTAACTGATTATTATGATATTTTCGTTTAAGAAATTCATTGTCATTTAAATTTTTTAAAATTTTATAAGTTCTTGATTGTAATTTGGATAAAACTCCTTTCGTTGAAATTTCTTTATAAGTGCGTCGATCGGAAAGTAAGTCATGGGCTTTGGAAATGTAGTCTGATTTTTTCATACAAACTGAAACACTTTGTTTAATTTAAAATTGATTTAATGAATAATTTACAGCTATGTACTGTTAGAGATGTTATTTTTTGATAGTTTTAATAATTGAAGGGATGAAAATAGGTCACTTTTCTGATAATGCATTTGTTAAAACACCCAATTTATTTTTATTTGAAAGTAAAGTTTTATCAGGCGCTCTCGACACATATATTCAGTGCATGTCTGTTCTATATATAAACTTACTTGTATTTCTAGTTTCATGAACCTATTTTGCGATGTATCATTTAACTCACCATTTTAAATGTTACTTTGTTGAAAAATTTCTGAAAAATAATTAATCCGGCCGGCACTTTGTCAACTGGAAATTTATACACTATGAGAAGTACAATACCGTTCACGTCTTGAACCCGAGTGACAGAGTTTGTGTTGGTAAACTTATCTTACCCCTTCCTTATACTTTCCTACCAAAGCTTATTTTGTTGACAACATTTTTTTTTAATAATTAAATTCATTATTTACGTTATCGATTATTTTCATAAAAAAAAGGAATTTTAAAAGACTATAAAAAAAATTAATACAGTACCTAAATTTATTTTACTTTATTATAAAAAATTTGCAGACTTACAAAAAGTTTTGAAAATTATTTCTTTATTTCGTAAAACGGTTTTTTAAAATTTTTTCTTTAAAACAATTTTTCTGCCTTTAAACTAGAGGTTTTGTTAACATTTAAAAATGTTAAAGAAAGAAAATATAAATTTATAATTTTAGCTGATAAAAATGTTGTCTATAGTTTCAAGTTAAATATTATTCTAATTAAATAATATACTGCGCAAAGTACTTTATATTTAAAATGAATTCTGTATTTTAATTAGTTACTGTGTTTTAATTACTTCGAGTAACTTTTTATATAGTGACTTTCATAGAAAGCACAAAAGTCTAAATGAAATTTAAATTCTTTAAATTTATCTGTCTAAAATTTTATTTCGTTCTTATCACACAAAAGTTGAGTTTACATTGTACTCTCTACATTTTCTGCTACCTGTCAAGATAAGTGGATTAACTCTGTGGTTGTCAGGCTTCTGCTTCATCGTTATATCTCCTACCTCCAGAGGTACCGAGCACTTATATTGTATATACCTATATGTACATTATGTGCACTTACAACTATATGGTTTATTTACCATTTACCAAAATGCATTCCAAATAGCAAATATTACTCTCTGCTTTTTATATGCAAATTTCTACTGCAAGCTAATTGCAATATTTTAATATGTAAGTTGTGGCTGCAATATTACACCAGTAGCAAAAAAAAAAACCAACCACTTATTTATTAATAATAAATTAATACAGGGGTTATTATGGTTGGTTATATTTATAACCAACCATTTATTTATTTTTTTTTTGTTACGGCATGGTTGCAAAGAAAGATTTTAATAGAATTTTAAATATTTTGTTTCATTATTTTTTATTTAATAACACAGGTACACAAAAAATGTCATGACCCAGAGGACAGACCCCTATATTCCCAAGTTTTTGGGATCGCTGAACCAGAATATGACCATAAAAAATTTTTAATTGACAATTTTCCTGCCACCATCCCCTTAAACCTCCTCACAGGTGTTAACATTTCAGTTTTCAAAAAAAGTCGAGTAGGGTGCCATTTCTTCGCTATTAACAACAAAAAATATAGAAAGAAATGTTTTTTATTATTGTGTAATAATATGTAAAAATTTTGAAATTTTTAAATAAATTTCACTATGAAAAAAAAAAATTCTTCAAAATACGTGCAAAAGACCCAGACTGCTTCTTTAAGATTATGTTTTTCAAAAAATTAAAATATTTAGGTAAATTTTCAATTTACATTGAACCAGGCAAAAAATTTTTTCATTTGTAAAAATCAAAATTGGCAAAAAGAGCATATGTCAATTAAAATATACTATCTAACAAGTAATTTGGCATATTTTTTATTTAATTTGGTTTTGGAAATCGAGGAAAACTTTAATTGAAATCTATACACTGAGAGAAATTCCTGGTTCATACAACCAAATTTTCGTGGTGAAAAACGTCGTTGACTACGATTCAAGTTGTTCGAACATGACTGAACATAGTTGTCTTGACGATAAAACATGGTTAATATAAATTTAATTCCTGGTTATAGTAACCAGGATCGTGGTTGACACTGAAATTGTGGATGGGAATGTAAAGCTATAATAGACAACGATGTATGTTATCTATGATTAAGAGGTTAAAATTATATATTTTTTCATCTTCTTATTTTAGAATTTATTTTCACAATACTTATAAATAATGTAGTCCATCCTTTGTTTTCATAAAAACAATTTTAAAAATCGTCAAAAACATATAGGTTATATGAAATCATTAATTGCATTTATCTAATTAATTGTCAACAATACTGTCACTGAAATAAGTAAAAAGATTTACATCAACCCAGTGAGAAATTGCCAATAGACTTTAATCGGTCCAATATCGGTCCAATATTGGTTGCCGTGCTGGGCGCCGATTGACTCCCAATATTGGACCAATATGGGCTGATGCTTGGGATGTAACGGCATCGCCAATCATCGGTTGTCAATATTGGTCCAATATTGGCCGAATATTGGCAACCAAGAGAAAAAAATTTTTTTAAATAAATTTTTTTTAATTAAATAATAATAATAAAAAATTAATGTTTATATTTTTTGTTTAATATATTTATTTGTTTAATTATTTATTTTTAATAATTCATGTAAATAATAAATAATTTATTATTTATAAATTATAATTATTTAAAAATGCAGCAGCTATTAGAAAATAGCATTCTGCAAAAAAATTCTATCATTGAAAAATCAATGATAGGCGAGAGAAATCCGCGTCTTTAAATAGATTCGCAGATGATAGACAAGAGATATCCGCGTCATTAAACGGATTCGCAGATATACTCTGGTCTCGCGACGAATCTCTCGATACTTATATACACTGGAGTCGCCGTGTCAGTTGCGAGAACGGTTACAGCGTCACTCTTTCGGCGGAGATAAGAATTGTCACGTAAACTGCTAAATCGCTTTACCGACCGCCTTATTATACCCGCAGTTTACGTGACAATTCTTATCTCTGCCGCAAGAGGGACGCTGTAACCGTTCTCGCAACTGACACGGCGACTCCAGTGTATACAGTACGAAAACCTACCACGTCAGTCATATCCCATGAGTGGGAGTGAGACAGACTTATGCGATTCCCATACTTTCCTATGACTGACGGATAGCTTTTCTTCCTGTATAAGTATCGAGAGATTCGTCGCGAGACCAGAGTATATCTGCGAATCCGTTTAATGACGCGGATATCTCTTGTCTATCATCTGCGAATCTATTTAAAGACGCGGATTTCTCTCGCCTATCATTGATTTTTCAATGATAGAATTTTTTTGCAGAATGCTATTTTCTAATAGCTGCTGCATTTTTAAATAATTATAATTTATAAATAATAAATTATTTATTATTTACATGAATTATTAAAAATAAATAATTAAACAAATAAATATATTAAACAAAAATTATAAACATTAATTTTTTATTATTATTATTTAATTAAAAAAAATTTATTTAAAAAAATTTTTTTCTCTTGGTTGCCAATATTCGGCCAATATTGGACTAATATTGACAACCGATGATTGGCGATGCCGTTACATCCCAAGCATCAGCCCATATTGGTCCAATATTGGGAGCCTTTATTGGACCGATGATCGGTCTCTTGGCTCCCAATATTGGACCGATATTGGACCGGTGAGAAATTTCTCACTGGGAACAGCATCATATTCACTTTTACTTTATACACTTTTGTTAATAAGAAGAAAGATGGAAAACCATAAAATACTTTAAAATAAAAACTTATGATGAGTGCATTCTACGTTGTGTTAAAAGTCAAACTATAGCAGAAAGTATAAAGACGTACTGCGCTTGCTCCCGACTACTGAAATCTAACAAATTGACTGGTTACTACTACCAGGTTTCATTTTCCTACAACTTTTCACTAAAGTTTTGCTATAACATGTGTTCGTAGTTGAAGACAAATTTCACCACAGATCATGGTTGTCACAACTAGGATTGTTTTTTTTTGGCAATTTTAGTTAACATAACTAAATTTCTGGTTACTGTAACCAGAAAACATGTTACAAAGACAATTTGAAGTTGGTCCAGTAACTGCATTTCATTAACCACTTTTTTCTGGTTGTATTAACTTGGTTGGGTCCATTTCTCTCAGTGTAGTCACTTACGAAATTTTATCTATAAAAATATTTATTTAAGCAGGTGTAACTGCAATCCAAATTAATTAGAAAACTGCAATGATTGATTAACGAACTTTTTTTTAATATGTTAATAAAATATGTGCCTGATTATGACATTTAAAAAAATTGTATATAAAAAAATGCTTTAAACATTCATAGAACGCTAGAAATTTAAAAATTAAAATTTTGTGTTCAAAGAGTTCCATAATTCTTCTCAATTAATATATTGCAAAACTATTGCAGTATTTGGTGTAAAAATTTACAGAAATATGTAATATACATCTTACCTGATTTAAATCAAGTTAAAAAATTACCTTTTTTTGGACAAAAATTGGAGTTCCTGGACCATTGTGGAGGGGTTGAAATTTTCAGTTTTATGTAAAGTCGTGTCATATTTGGTTTCGGCGATCCTAAAAACTTAGGAATATAGAGGTCTGTCGTCTGGGTCACAGCTCTTTCTTGTATGCGTGTGTAATTATTTCATATTTTTGATAATAATTTTAATTGTCTTAATTAATTGATTTAATTGCCCCTATCAAATCTTTATAAAAATTATAGCTATCACAGCTAAAAGGATTTTTTAATTATCTTAAAATACTTTGGCACAATTCTTGTACTTATTTGGAAGTTAAAAAATTGTATTTTTTTGTCAAAAATGGGTAATTCTGTACTGCGAGTTCGTATAAAAAAGTTATAAATTTTAAATTTCAATATTCAAGGAGTGGTTTTTGGAGTTGATGGTAGTGTCTACTATTAAATTTGAGCCTTGGCACATAGAATAAAATATGTTTCTAATATTTTCCATATTTTAAAATAGAAATCTTGGTTCATCGAAACCGGCGAGACTCGGTTCCGTATAGGTTTATTTGCAAACTAACTGTGCATCCTTAAGTGATTTTTCTATCTAATATAACATTGCGTCATTTCAATATGACAAAAAGATTTCGCTACCGGGTTCAGCGCTCTGAAGTTGGCCTCATATGACTTTGAGATAGTGATGCACGTCAAGACAATATTATCTTGAACTTGCTTAATATTTTTTCATATTTTTTTTTCGTAACAAAAATCTTGTATACCCGCAAGGTTCTTAAACATTCAATTGTTTATATATTGAAAATTCTTGATAATTATTGATCAGCTTTGTTATGGTTAAAATGAGTACGAGATTTAATAATATAAATGAAAGTCACAATAAACCTTGAAATACAGAAAATGTGTTCTATTAAGATTGGGAATACATATACAGAAAATGAAAAGTATGATAAATTAAGTAAATTTTATTATCAGTATAGCATTGACTGCA